TTGGGTCTCCATTTTGATCCATGTAGAGAGCTGATTTGTAGAGGACAGAAGGCCTGGCTTATGGTTTAGGGGGGGTGAAGAGAACCTTTATATATACTCTTAGAATTTGTGCAATTATTTGGCTTTTGGTTGAATGGCATATTCGATGGGGTGGGGTGGGGTTGAAATGGAACCTTGAGATTTATTGCGTCTAGAAGACTCAAGTAGGTCCATATGCATTAGTGATCTCTATATGAGATTTTTGAAGACTTGAATTATTGGAAGGTGGTGCAATGCAAGATAAGTAGCTTTTTCTGAAGTTTCTAGTGAAGACCTGTACATTTTACGGGTAATCTATATATTAATTTAATAAAGAAATTGATATAAAGTAAAAAAGGGTTTTCTCCAAAAAAAAAAAAAAAAAAAACAGAAACAAAAGTAGAAGTCTTGTAGTGTCGTATTCTCGTTGGTGAAAGCATTTTTCCATCTGTTGTTCCAAATTCCCAAGTAAGCCTGGTCCGGACGAGTTGTGTGATTATGTTTTCAAGTTAGTTTTATAAAGTTGCTAGCAAAAATTTTAACTTTAAAAGTTATTTATATTAAAATAAGTAACTTAATCGCATGCCAAACGTCGCTTGGAAGATGAAGAACTTGTTGAAAAAACATTTACAGTATTATCTTCTCTATTATCTATCAGCAATTAATTTCTTTATAGAAATTCGTGCATTTCTTCTATAGACATTTTCAAATAAGAACTGAGTAGCCAAAAAACAGAGTGACGCATTTTGAGAAATTAATTATGAAAATTAAACGTTTTGTGTAAATCTAAAAAAGTATGTGAGATTTTATCTATAATATATAAAATAAAACAATTCAAGAATTATTTTTTGAAGGAGTCTAACTCTACTATAATTCAATTATTTTAATAATAATTTACTTTTCGTTTTTCAATATGTATTTAATTTATGATTATACTATCATTAATTATTTCGGCAACTATTTAGTTATCATCGATATACGTTTGATAGAGTCATTTCACTTATGTACTTTTACCTCAAGAAATCCAATTATGAACTTTAATAAACATTATAAAATCCTTGTTTGTGGATGAATTCACTGTTATTAATTCTCAATTAATTTACATTCATATTCATTTAATTAATATTTCATTTATGCATTTTAGTATTATTAATTCTAATTATAATAAATTAGAATTTTATGTTCAATAATGCAGTTCAGTTTATGTATACTGATTAGCATCCAGTTTCACTTAATTGAAAATTAAATTATACTTATTTAGTATAAATGATTTAACATTCATTGTCATTTATATATTCTCTGATATTAATTTAAAATTAATTAACATTCACGTTAGTTCATTATCGTATTTCCTGTTCATCTCTGTTTATACATTTAACCTATATTTGGCACACATTTTTTTAAAAACTCATTTTCAATCACATTCTTCCATAAAATATTTTACTCGTAAATAAAAAAATTTTCCTCTTTTTTTAATTATATATTCTCCAAAAAATCACTATTCCAAAATACATTTTTTTTTTTATAACAAAAATGGTGCTCAAATTAGAATTTAGTTGTAACTTAGCCTTATGATAAAACAAGAATTAGATGGTTAAATGAATATTGGGATTTATTGTTAAACATCAATTGAATTCTTGAACGTGAAATTTAGTACTCGTCACCCCTTGGCAATGCAACTAGAACATTACAATGATGCTGGTTTCCAATCGCAGGATGGTTGGGTTGGTTCGGTTTGGTCTGGTTCGAGGCAGTAATTCCAAATCAATCAGGTGTGATTGTTGTCGCAAGTAATTATCTATTGTGGGACATTATTCACCAGAATATACAAAGGCCATCGCCATTCGTCATGGCCTTATTCTTTTCAAGATTGTTTCTTTAGTGTTGTTGATGCTAAAAGTGACGTGCCTAGGATTATTCAGAGCCTTCGATCTGACTTCAGCCTCATCCAAATGCTCAACTCAAGTGTTAACTGTAGTCCTCACGAATGAAATAACGTTGGTTTGGTTTGATTTGTACCTCGTTATAGGGACAAAGTGATCCATAACCTTGTGTTACTAATACCCCAACCTTTATGAGCTGAATTGATTGCATCTCCACTTTCATTTCATCATTTGCAATGAAGTTGATCCTTTGGCCAATACACATTTCTTACTGGTACTTTTGTTGGAAACGACTTATAAAAAGGGTTATGTAAGGGTTGATTTTTGATACATTTGTTTGACCAGTTTTAACCCGCAAAAGCGTGATAAAAACACAATTTATATGAATGAAAATTTGGACAGAGTTTCGGTATAACAATTACGCAAAACAAGAATTAAGAAGGAGTAGAAATAGAGAATAATTCAAGGTGAGACGTTATCTCTTTCATTAAAACAAATTGCCCCACTACGGTGCTCACAGTGAATGACATATGTCTCCCAAGATACAATGGATTTACAACTTGTTGTAGCAGCACTTCAAACCATAAGAAACCGACGAACTTTTGATAGAATTTTCTCTCTACAAAGGAAATGTATGAAAATACTATGGAATTAAAAATTAGAGAATTGCAAGAGGAGAATGAATGCTCAATGCAATTGGTGTACCCAAAATCATGTCCACATGGTCCTATTTATAAATGTAAAGAGGGTGCAAATAAAGTAGTGTGGGCCAAAACATGCATCATTTCGAAAAGTTGCAACACTTGGCCAAAACCTGCATCCTTTCGAAAAATTGCAACGCTTCATTTCTTCCAACTTTGGTCCGCAATTTCTCATTCATCCGAAATTGATTTCGAGATTCCAAATATACCGCGACGATTTACTCGACGAGTATGATAAGTTGGTCTATTTACTTTTGTAATTTGACCATTGGATTAAGTCTGAATATTTGGTCGAAGTTGACACGTACTCACACTTTTTCATTTTTCAATTTTTGGTTAATTATTTGAACCAATTCCTACAACTTTTTGAGTTAATTTCATTTTTGCTTACTGAACTTCAAGTGAAATTTCAATGATTACCAAACTTTAATCTTTATGAATCAGATGGTCGAACTTCCATCTACCTGTAAATGGAGGCCAATGGAGGCTTGAGACATTAAGCCCCGGTTTGATCTCATTCTTTTAAAAACCCTTCTTTTTTCTTTTTTTCTTTTCTTCAATCACACATTTTTTCAATAAAATAATTTTACAATCAAATCCAAAAAATTTCCCTACTTTTTAACTATGCATTTTTTTTTAAAAAAAATCACTATTACAAAATCTATTTTCAAGTTCAAACAAACTCAAAGTTTGTTGAAATTTAATGATTTTAATAGATGCGATTTGATGATTTTAGTAGGTATGAATTGAATTTTTTTTCCATTGGTGCGATGACTAGTCACGACTTTTGAAATGCAAATGGTACATATCTCACGATTTTTTAGATTAGGTACGACCATTCAAAGAGGTATATATAATGAAAAATTATTAACCTTTGTAAAGGGTGTGATTTAAATCATCAAATCATGCCTCAATCTGAAAATGTGTCATCTAATGATACACATTTATTTATGCTAAAAGGTACATCTATTCGGAGAAAACATTTTGAATGCATAAATTGAATTCATCCAACCACACATTTTTCCAATAAAATAATTTCACAAGTAAATTCGAAAATTTTCCCTACTTTTTAGCTATACATTCTTTTAAAAAAAAAAAATCACTATTACAAAATCTATTTTCAAGGTTCAAACAAACTCAAAATTTGTTGGAATTTAATTATTTTAATAGATGTGATTTGATGATTTTAGTAGGTATGAATTGAATTTTTTTTATTGGTGTGATGATGAGTCACGACTTTTCAAATGCAAATGATGCATATTGAAGAGTCATGATTTCATATTAGGTACGACCATTCAAAGAGATACATATAATGAAAAATTATGAACCTTTGTAAAGGGTGTGATCTAGATCGTCAAATCAAGACTCAATCTGAATATGTGTGATCTAATAATACATATTTATTTATGCTAAAAGGTGCATCTATTTGGAAAAAACATATTGAATCCATAAATTGAATTCATTTCATTCATTTTTCTTTTGAAAATATGTTATATTCACCAATGATTACCCAACTTTATATTTAATGTTATCACGCTCATCCAATTTGATTTTATTTCACCATGACCACCCAACGTTATATTTAATGTCACCATGGGCACCTAATTATATTTTAGTTCACTATGACTATCCAATTTCATGTAACGTTTTACTATTGCCATCAAACTTTTTTTTTCTTCACAATTTTCACTAATTTTAAAAGTGGTAAAATAGTAACTTTGCATATATATAAACATAAAATTCAAAAAAATGAAATAAATTTTTTTATATTTTAAAATATGTTTTTAAAAATAAGTTTTTATTTTATTGTTTTAAAAATGGTTTTTAAATAATTTTTTTTATTTCATTTTTTTAACAAACTTTTTTTAAAAAAACTTTTTATTTTATTTTATTTTTCTAAGTAACGGTAATGAGTTTTTATTTTTAAAATAAGTTTTTAATTTATTTTTTTTAAAAGAAATTAGGTGGTCACAGTGAAACGTAATGTGATATTGGATATCATGATAAAACGTTATGTGAAATTGGATATCATGATGAAACATTATATGAAATTGAGTTATTATGGTGAGATAAAATCAAATTAGGAATCATGTGACATTAAGTATAAATTTGGAGCAGATTGTCGTAGCTCTGCTTCGTGAAATCATCTGTCTAGTTGTAACCCTTCTAATTTCTCAAATAAAAACACCAATTCATCTCCCCATTTTATGTGAAAAGGGGACGGGGATCAACAAGATAAGGTACATCAGTTTAAATGATTTCTAATTATTCCGTCTATAATTCTAATGTAAAACCTTTTACAAGGATTATACCAATAAGAAATATGAATTAAACTCATCATTCCATTTAAAAATAAATAAAAGAAATTCCATGTGTCACAATTAATTTATGCATGCAATGATGTGAACTTCAATGAAATAGATAAATATGAGATTAGTACAAATACCACTAAGTCTATGCAGGGGAACACTCAAATTACTGGTAATATTCATATATAAATATGAAAAGTATTCAACATTGAAACTAAAAATACAAAACCAAAAGCCCCCATCTGAATGAACACTTTGATTCTAATAGCTATAATCATAAGAAAAATCAGACAGACCAACCATGGCAGATACAACCTGGGAAACAATGAAAATGCTTCCTCCAATTATTGTCAAGACCAGAATTGCAGAAATGGGATTCTTCAACAACTCAAAAATAGGCTGAAAAACAGTGTAAATAACACCAGTACTTACTGTCAAAGCATACAGTGCATATCTCCTCATGTTATCCCAAAAATCTTCCATCAATGGCCCTTCAGGCCCCAAAGCCAAAGCCTTTTGCTCATCAATTCCCATAAGAAAAATAACAAGTCCTACAGAAACAGTCCCCAAAATTACAAGTTTTGAGTATTCTTCTGAGCTTACTGGGAAAAACCTTTCTTTTGAGAAATTTTCTAGCTTGTCGGAATTTTGAAAACGGCTTGAATTTCTGGGATGACTAATTCTTTTTCTAGGGATGCTTATAGTCTTTGGAATGTGTGGTGAGCATCCATTTTTTGTTGGGTATTTAAACTGTGATTTGGATTTGATTGGGACGAGAGAGAGAAGATTTGCAGTTGGAGTGCTGAGATTTGGATGCTTGAAATGGAGATTAAGCCTTAGATTTTGCATCTTTGAGCACCTCCGATATCAGAACAGGTTTCTTGAAATAAATTGATGAAGTGAATTGGATGGGTGGTGGTGGTTTCTATTTCGTTTTAATGCCTTATCTTTTGAAGATTAAAGGGGCCTGCAGGGAGTATGGGGTAATTTTTGACTGGTGGAATTGACATAAACAACACTACAAGTTATAAAATGGTGGAGAGAAATAGGCCGGGGCAGAAGGAGCCAACGGAATAGAGTCGTGGGGCAAAACTGAAAATTGTAAGAAATTTTTTTGAAAATTTTGTGTAAAATTTATTGCAAAATTTTGAATTTCAAATTTAGTGTGGAAGTAGTGAACCCCACTGCCCCCACCCACGGGTTGAGGCACGATTTTGGTTGGGTTGGTTTGATTTGGTTCATCGATTTGGACACTAATCCAAGTTAAAAAAAAAAATTACTTGTAGATCAATGGAAGACAAAATGTAAACGATAGCTTTTTATCCTCAAAGCCATCCTTCATATCCAATAATTTACCAACAAAAAATTATACCAAAATGAAAGCAAGGCTAGTAGGCTACTCTTGCCATTTAACCATGACTTAAAAAAAATAAAAAATAATAATAATGGCTTTCTCGATCCAATTTCCATTTGCACAAAAAATAAAAAAATAAAAAATACTGAAATTGACGGGTAGAGATTTTAACAAGCACCATCACGTGGAAAAAAAATAAATAAATCTAATTACGAGTCCTAAATAATGTAATATACGCACAACTAGAAGAGGGAAAGCCCAACTAACGCAGCTTGTTATTTGAGGCAATCGAATTATAGAAAATTAATACCTCAAATAACAAACTGACACATAAAATACTAATGCAGATGCTAATTATAAATAACATTATAAGATGCATGGACAATAGAAATAGTTAAGTTCTTTTTTTATTTTATTTTATTTTTTTAACTTAATAATCAGATTCTAAAAATTAAAAAGTAAGAAAAAAAAAAGTATGTATCAACTGTTTGAATCGATTAATTGGTTGTTTGATCGCTTAAACCATAACTGATCTGACCCACCCCTAGATACAAAGACTTGTTGCTATTCTTTCATAAACTTTTTGACATGGTAAATTTACATAAATAGCTTTAAAATTAACACACCTCTATGGACTTTTAGTTTTATGCTACTTGAATCTTAAATTCATCAACGAGTCACTACACCTGCAGTCATCCCTCCTAATAAGGTTTGGAAATGAAGAATGTATAAAGATTACAAGTGTTTTGCAGCTTATTCTATTGATGTATCTTTTACATCTTTGCAGTTTGTCAAATCAGATCTGCAGTTAATTATACTAACGAAATTAAAGACTCAAATGTAACTGAAACGAAGATGCAATCATCGATTCTCCCGAGAGTTTACAATTGCTGTGAGCAAACATATTAATGACGAGGAAGGCATCGTGCTTCTCTTCCTCTTCCTCTTCCTCTTCCTCTTCCTCTTCCACAAGTTGCTGCTATCCCTCAAATAGAATAGACGATTCAAAGTATCATCCCATCTCAATTGAAAAAGCACATAACGTTTCAAGAACAAATCTAGTTAATGCAAGGAAAGAGGAAAAAAGCAAGCCAAATCAAAACCAGGCAAGCATGAGAAATGAGTTCAAAAGATCAACTGTATGGAGTTTTTACTATCTATTAACATAGATGTCTGACTCTAGTCACCATCCGATTTAGGCATAGGACCCACTTCGAAACCTGCCAATCCATCTTTAAGCGCGAGAATCGGAAGATCTAGTTCAAGTGGGTGGTTCATACTTTATAACTTGAATATTTTTTGACTCGATCATAAGGTAGCGAAATTCCTTGTCGGGTAAGTTCCGACCCGCACGAAAGGCAAAAGTACAACATTAGTAACCAAGTTGAAACAAAATAGAGACAAACGATCTTTGCTAAGAGTTGGCCAACAGCGTTTTCTACTCGCCACTTATCATATCAGCTCCAATCACGTCACTCGTGAAGTTAAGTCATATGATCAATACATCCTGATACAGATCTTTTAATTATGATTCTTTGTATTTCAGTACGGGAGTAGACAAGAAATTCAATCTGCACCACCCATCAAGAATAATAATATAACAATCTTGCTAAATTACCAGAGGATTTTAACACCTAGGATGACTGAATGCCATATGATGTTACATCATTGAACTGTTTCAAAAACAGTCAACATTGCCATCCAATCATTTTTTTGCTACAACTTCATCTGTCAACAAAGGTGTTAAATTCCTCTCGCAAAACAGTATAATTCATAATATAAAGTTGATTTTACAGCTGGTTAATAAGACATGTAAGGGGACCAAATGGACATCACCAAAAATTTGCATGGATATTTCATTTGGAGCCGACAAGGGGTCTCACTCTTGAAGCATTCCCTTCTTCAAAAGCATATCGTAAACTCTATCTATTTTTGTTGGCTCAATTTGGAAGAAGGAATAGGCATCGGATTTCTGATTAATATTGCCGCTCATCATTTGTATTGTCATGAACTCTAGCATTCTAAGATAATGAGGGGCCGGTAACCTGATCTCACGGCACAGTTGTTTCTCCTGCAAAGATAATGCAGTAAAACCAGAAAATAATAATCAGATACCATGAATAGGCGCTTGTTTGCCGATTCTGAAAATTAAGGTGGGCTGTGTATGAAGCCTTATTTTCGACCAATGAATGGACTGCAAACATCTAGAGATGCTACATCAGACTTTAAACTAGTCAATCAACCAAGCTGCAGTGATAAAATTAATTAAAGGGCAAGAAGCCCAAAGCCAAACTGCTTTTGCTTTGTAGCAACAAGAATTGCATACTTACAGATTCAGAAAGTAAATCTGCGCCAGATAATGACACAAAATCCAAATCAGTTAGGGATGCCGAAGTAGAGTGGCCTACAGATGTTGTATTTGAGTATGTATTAAGTGAATCCGATGAAACTGGGACGTTGAGACTTTCCTGACTGCTTGGACCAGCATGAGAATTTTCCTTTCTGTGACCACGGTCTTCGGCTTCCCTTCTCCTTTTCTGTTCAAGGTATCTGTCAGCTTCACCAGAGGAACGGCATCCAGCCACTCGTGCTTCCTGCACATCCATTTTTGGAAGTCAACTAAATATTGATTTTACTTTAGCTGCAGTCCAAATAAATATTTGTCACACATTCCAAAGTTCCTTAACCAACCTCCACTTCAGACTATTGTTGCTTGGTAATCGGAAATTACGGATCAAGGTAATTTTGACAATATTATGCAGTATAACCTCAATAAATTAATATCCCAGTCCTAACCTAAATATTTTTTGAGGTTAAACTGTAAACCAGAGTAATTATTGACATCCTTGCTTCTTAAATTGGGTAGAGGGTAGTGTATGGGTTTAACAAAGTAACGGATTCTTTATGATCCTGCCTATAAGTGAGATGGTTTTGAAAAACTATGCCACTGTGAAATGCTTAGTGGCTGTTGTACTACAGCACTAATGCAAATAGTTAGAAGAATATGACAACAATCAACTATTGATTGTTTGATTCAGAAACATATTACCTGCAAACAAAGGGACAGTCCCATACCAAATCATGAGAAAAAATATGCCCCCACAAACTCTGTTTCTTTATTGAGTATAAAAACAAGTTAAAAATCATGCAATTCCCAAGATTTATTTGCACGTTGAAATAAAGTTAAGGGTCATTGCTATATGATATACCTTAAGTTCACGAATTCTTTTCAGAATCCTATGTTCTGATATAACAGTTCTAAGTAATTCTTCATGCTCCTCCTTAGAGTGAAAACGCATGAAGACATCATATCGTCGGCATAAATCCTTTTCCTCTTGAGATAACTCCTCCTCAAATGGACTAGGATGGAACAAATTCCTTTCAAGAATGAAATCTTTCCGGCGTTTTCTCTCATCAAGTCTGACAACAATCCGATAAACAGTGAATTCGAAGATATGACATGAGCCAAAACTTATGATAATGAACTAATGATATCAGAATATAATTTAATCATATCAAACGGATCTTCTTATTATTGGGTTACTCATTAACCATATTCTTGCAAATAACTAACTGTTTACTTCTTATTGCTCCGCAAAGTAATCATGTTTATACATAAAATAATCACATTCTATTCTCTTTTCTTTTCTTTTTGTTCTTAACTTCCCCTGATATGGAGCATAAAAATGGGTCCAGGTCACATGAAAAAGATTGAATTGTTTTCCTTCACTCAATTTTACTAAGGCCATGTTTGATAGGCATGAATTCCATGGAAAATGATATTTGATTTCCAACCTAAACCAAAAATGGATGTTTTATAGGTTTTTTTCCTAGGGAATTCATTTGCCAACTTTGATGCCACCGAAGTCATTTTCCACCAATTGATGAAAATGAAGGTGAGAATTCATTTTCTAGGTTGCTACCCTTTTTTTTATTTTTTTTTTTGCGCAATGGAAACAAATTCTATCCCTAATTGTATAAAATTTTTTCCTTTAATTGACAATTTTAATGTAAAACAAAGTCAAACGAACACAAAAAAATAAATGATTTTAAATTTTTTAATTTTTTTAAAATTTTTGGCAATGGAAAAAATTTAATTCCCAATACCAGTAAATTCTATCCATTTAATTGACATTTTCATGTAAAACAAAATCAAACGAACACCAAAAAACACTTTTATTTTAACATTTTTCACGTGAAAAATTATACCAATCAAACACAATAATTGACAATTCCCAGTAAAACAATTTCTAGGCAATTCAATTCCCTGAAATTCGTTTTCTTTCCACCCAAATTTCATTTTTGTAATCAAACGAACCCTAAAACAACTATCAGTTATAAAAATTTGGACTATAATGGATTACCTCTTTGAATATATACGGAGCACACGTAATTTCAACTCATGCTCTTCTTGAGTTTCAGTTTCCTTAAATTCCATATCAGCCAGCAACTGCTCAGCATCATTATCATATTCAGTATCAAATTCTTGTCTTTTTGGGTTATAACCACTCGACTCCATCAAAGAAGGAACCTCATCCTCAGCAGATTTAGGTTTATTGCTGCCAAAACTCCGTCCTGATAGATGATCTGCAAGAAATTAGGAAGCATATGATTTAGAATTAAACATATAGTTATAACTCTATCAGAATTCAAACACAGCATAAAACAAGAAAAAAATCAGGTTACCATTCAGTTTTAGAGAATCAGGCTGATCCTTGACCTGGACCATGTTGGATGCCATTTTATTGTCTGCAATTCCTGCAATATTTGTACTAATAAATGACTATCTCTTTCTGTTGTACAAGAAACAGACTATCAATGGGTCTGATCTATGTGGATCTAGACAGAACGAATCAAATTCTCATTATGCAATAACTAAATCCAAATCCCAATATGCATAGATCTTAACCAAATCTGGGCCCCAAGTTCATTGTATCAGATAACTCAACCTGGGACTATTTATTTTCTGATCTTCATATTCAGTTCGGACCCAGGTCGCGGATCTTAGTCGGTAACAAAAATGGATCCTAAATCCAACAAGTCAACCAGGCACGCAATAAACATCAATTAAACTGATATTGGTAGACAAGAGCACATGGCTACTAATCAAATGAAAGCATAGTTACCTCCATTTGAACAGAGCACATGGCTACTAATCAAATGAAAGCATAGTTACCTCCATTTGAACCAGAAGGCAAACGACCTGAAGGATCATTTTTGTAGGAATTTTCAATTCTGACAGTGTATATACAAAATATCAGAACATAGAATCCGAACGAAAAATACAACTTATGAAAAATGCAAAACAGCAATTACTTGACTCTTAAGGGAGAAAATGGGGATTCCTCCTTCAATGGAAGTTCACCTGGCAAAGAAAGCCAAAGTACGATCAATATCTTTGAAAAATATAATATAAAGCATCTTATACTATGTTTTATGTACAAAAGCCGAGAGCCCAAAGTTGAAAACTTAGAATAACCAGAGCGGCAGAGCGTGATTCACTAACAACTTGAAATGGTAATTGTGATAATCAATTATTATATTCAACGGGTTCTCTTGTTCTATCTAATCATTGTAACAAACAATTAGACATAAAGAATAACCTGTTACAGGAAGAGTGGTGTACTCCCGTAGCTTCAGAATAATAGAAAATTACAATGCCTTTATCAGTTAAAACCAAAAGCATAACTAAAATTCTTCAAAACTGGACACCCTTATCATACAATATTTTTTGTTAAACAATAGATTGCAATCCACAGATCCACTAAACAGCCCAACTGACGTCACTCAATTGAAGTCAACCCAGAAAGATTGCCCAACAGAATTATTTAATGCACCCCTCATTCTTTCTGTCAACCCATTGTAATACAAAAACAGGTGCCGTGCGTGCGTGTGTGTGTGTGTGTAGAGAGAGAGAGAGAGAGAGAGAGAGGACTATCAACAAAAAGTTACCTTTTTTATCCTCAATGTGCTCTTTAGCCATAGCAAGCAGTTCTTTTCTGTTTTTGCCAACAACATGCGTCATATCCTGAGAAATGAAATGTTTGAATCACTTTCAAGAAAGGAAAATCAAATCTTACACATGACTAGTTTTGCCATTAATTATACCGGTAGAGGGAAGTAAGGAGAGTTTAGGTAAGCATTCCTATAATGTTCAATGCACACTTCCTTTGTCTTTGTCCCAACATGCTCAGCAACTTCTGCCCAGTTTCCCATGCCATACATCTCAATCCCCTAGTACATGATATAAAATAATGAAAATCAGAACATAGAAACCATGTGAGATAACACTTCCAAAAAGAGAAATGAGATTACTTTTGATCAATGAGATGACAAACACTTAAAATCAGATTACAAAACACCTCTAAAAGTAACATTTCTTCATCAGCATTCCAATCCGGACAGATGAGAGGAAATGATAAGATGTCCTGTTCCAATGACATCAGCAAAATCATGAGCACTATGAGGGGATATATTTCAGCAATATTTTGCATTGAAGGTCACATGACTTGGAAAAAAATAGAATAATTGGAAAAGAGAATATAGAACAAGAAAGATTAAACACAAGATCATATGGCAATATATTTGGGACACTATTGAACAAGACACATTATTCCCTTCTTTGGTATGCTATATACAACAAACTTTTCTTCTGGAAAATTGAAAGGACACCAAAATCCACTGTAAAATTGCAAGATATGTAGTACTATATCTTGTGCAAACACACTTATAAAAAGATAATTGTTGAGAGAATTTATATTCATGTCGAATCAATATATGCAATGTTTTGCTAGTAAAAATTGTTATATTTTCGTCAAAACAAATGGAATAACATAGTTATTTAGAATATCTGATAAGATAAATAGCTTCAGAGTTAGGATAGTGGATTCTTTGCATTAAGTTTTGTGAAAGTACCATCTTCAGATGGTAGTACTGACCATAACCCTGTACGGGTGATTGCTTTTGTGAGGATGAACCTCAGCTCCGACTGAGAAGCATTCTATGCATAAGTCAAAATCGGAACATACAGCACACTTGATACGAATTCTTCCCGTGATGTCTTTGTTACAATAGTTGCAATGGTACCGAGCCCTTTTCCCATCACTGGTCCCTTGACCTTATTAAACAAGAGGCAATGTCATAAACAGGAGATAAACAAGTTAGAAGTAAAACATGCAGTAAAAGAAGCCCGGCACCTAACTATAATGTTCCCACAACCAAAACCAAACTTAGATTGGGTGTTCTCTACCGAGTCAGACCACCTAAACAGCCAAATACAAAAATTCCATTATTGTTCTAAATTTTCATACATCATCAACTCCATCAATAATTGGCAAGAGATCACTATGCTGCTCTCTGTTACAAGATATCAGAATCTAAGATAACTGCAGATCTCTCACGCAATAATATTAATATCACCTTAGAGAGAAAGCGAATTACCTGAAGTAACAGACTCTATATTTTCACCACTTGATGCATTCTTTTTCCTCCTTGATCTGAAAGTACAAAAGCATTGTGATAGAAAAGACAGTTAACTGCAATTTCATGAGGCTTCAGTACAAGAATATACAATTATTCATGCCATTCTAACACGTGTAAAACTAAAATAGATTAGCCCAATGACAGCATGACATTTCTTTAAATTTTGTGCAAGTAATTACAAATTTGTTCGTTTCAAGGAGACTCAATTTTAACATACTCACAACAAGACAATCATTATACACACTTGATAATGCAAAATGGACATGTATCATCTGCTCCCAGTCAAAGATAAATATAAAGGGTGAGATAAATCAAACACAAATCCAAATCAAATCATCCCTAAAAATCACAGCTTTACAACAAATGTAAGAGAACAACTCAAAATAATAACAAAGAATTGCAGAATTATAATAAAACCACAAAACCATATAATCGAACACTGAATACAACACCCAGTACCTACAATGTGCATACGCATCGACAGTATGTGAAAAAAAATATATATATATTGAAGATATAAAACTAATGCTGAACCTTTGAGTGGGATCTTCTTCACCACGGAAATTTCCACGGGAGCGACCCACAGTTCTTTTCTGTTTTTGCCAACAACATGCGTCATATCCTGAGAAATGAAATGTTTGAATCACTTTCAAGAAAGGAAAATCAAATCTTACACATGACTAGTTTTGCCATTAATTATACCGGTAGAGGGAAGTAAGGAGAGTTTAGGTAAGCATTCCTATAATGTTCAATGCACACTTCCTTTGTCTTTGTCCCAACATGCTCAGCAACTTCTGCCCAGTTTCCCATGCCATACATCTCAATCCCCTAGTACATGATATAAAATAATGAAAATCAGAACATAGAAACCATGTGAGATAACACTTCCAAAAAGAGAAATGAGATTACTTTTGATCAATGAGATGACAAACACTTAAAATCAGATTACAAAACACCTCTAAAAGTAACATTTCTTCATCAGCATTCCAATCCGGACAGATGAGAGGAAATGATAAGATGTCCTGTTCCAATGACATCAGCAAAATCATGAGCACTATGAGGGGATATATTTCAGCAATATTTTGCATTGAAGGTCACATGACTTGGAAAAAAATAGAATAATTGGAAAAGAGAATATAGAACAAGAAAGATTAAACACAAGATCATATGGCAATATATTTGGGACACTATTGAACAAGACACATTATTCCCTTCTTTGGTATGCTATATACAACAAACTTTTCTTCTGGAAAATTGAAAGGACACCAAAATCCACTGTAAAATTGCAAGATATGTAGTACTATATCTTGTGCAAACACACTTATAAAAAGATAATTGTTGAGAGAATTTATATTCATGTCGAATCAATATATGCAATGTTTTGCTAGTAAAAATTGTTATATTTTCGTCAAAACAAATGGAATAACATAGTTATTTAGAATATCTGATAAGATAAATAGCTTCAGAGTTAGGATAGTGGATTCTTTGCATTAAGTTTTGTGAAAGTACCATCTTCAGATGGTAGTACTGACCATAACCCTGTACGGGTGATTGCTTTTGTGAGGATGAACCTCAGCTCCGACTGAGAAGCATTCTATGCATAAGTCAAAATCGGAACATACAGCACACTTGATACGAATTCTTCCCGTGATGTCTTTGTTACAATAGTTGCAATGGTACCGAGCCCTTTTCCCATCACTGGTCCCTTGACCTTATTAAACAAGAGGCAATGTCATAAACAGGAGATAAACAAGTTAGAAGTAAAACATGCAGTAAAAGAAGCCCGGCACCTAACTATAATGTTCCCACAACCAAAACCAAACTTAGATTGGGTGTTCTCTACCGAGTCAGACCACCTAAACAGCCAAATACAAAAATTCCATTATTGTTCTAAATTTTCATACATCATCAACTCCATCAATAATTGGCAAGAGATCACTATGCTGCTCTCTGTTACAAGATATCAGAATCTAAGATAACTGCAGATCTCTCACGCAATAATATTAATATCACCTTAGAGAGAAAGCGAATTACCTGAAGTAACAGACTCTATATTTTCACCACTTGATGCATTCTTTTTCCTCCTTGATCTGAAAGTACAAAAGCATTGTGATAGAAAAGACAGTTAACTGCAATTTCATGAGGCTTCAGTACAAGAATATACAATTATTCATGCCATTCTAACACGTGTAAAACTAAAATAGATTAGCCCAATGACAGCATGACATTTCTTTAAATTTTGTGCAAGTAATTACAAATTTGTTCGTTTCAAGGAGACTCAATTTTAACATACTCACAACAAGACAATCATTATACACACTTGATAATGCAAAATGGACATGTATCATCTGCTCCCAGTCAAAGATAAATATAAAGGGTGAGATAAATCAAACACAAATCCAAATCAAATCATCCCTAAAAATCACAGCTTTACAACAGATGTAAGAGAACAACTCAAAATAATAACAAAGAATTGCAGAATTATAATAAAACCACAAAACCATATAATCGAACACTGAATACAACACCCAGTACCTACAATGTGCATACGCATCGACAGTATGTGAAAAAAAATATATATATATTGAAGATATAAAACTAATGCTGAACCTTTGAGTGGGATCTTCTTCACCACGGAAATTTCCACGGGAGCGACCCATTAAATTTTCAAGTAAAGTGCAATCCCCTGTCTATAAGCAATTAACGGAACATCGCCTATAACGAATTATATGTAACAAGAACTGAAAGCGTTGGAATCAAGTGTTTAGTTATACTTCTTATTCATCGAGAAGCCCTAAAAGCTAGACAGGGAAGGGTTAATGAAGAACCCTGGTTTTGACTTTCTAATCCAGCATTTTGAAAACCATGGTAATCAACAAGCAAAGCTCGAAAATAGGAAAAGAAGAAAGGAAATAAGATGATATATTGGAAATTTTAAATATTTTTTAAGTAATTCTAGTATATGAATTTTCATAGATTTTACAGGATTAATGAAAGTTATTCTTTTAATGAATTTTCATAAATTTTAATTTTAATTTTAATTTTTTTATAGATTTTTATATAATTTATTTAAAAAAATTATTTTATTTTATTTTTTGAAAAATTGTACACGGTAATAGAATTATATTTTCCATGTCAATAAAAGTATTTTTCAAAAGAATACAAAAATAAGTCACCTAAATCAGAAAAATAAATAATCAAGATGTAAGAGAACAACTCAAAATAATAACAAAGAATTGCAGAATTATAATAAAACCACAAAACCATATAATCGAACACTGAATACAACACCCAGTACCTACAATGTGCATACGCATCGACAGTATGTGAAAAAAAAAATATATATATTGAAGATATAAAACTAATGCTGAACCTTTGAGTGGGATCTTCTTCACCACGGAAATTTCCACGGGAGCGACCCATTAAATTTTCAAGTAAAGTGCAATCCCCTGTCTATAAGCAATTAACGGAACATCGCCTATAACGAATTATATGTAACAAGAACTGAAAGCGTTGGAATCAAGTGTTTAGTTATACTTCTTATTCATCGAGAAGCCCTAAAAGCTAGACAGGGAAGGGTTAATGAAGAACCCTGGTTTTGACTTTCTAATCCAGCATTTTGAAAACCATGGTAATCAACAAGCAAAGCTCGAAAATAGGAAAAGAAGAAAGGAAATAAGATGATATATTGGAAATTTTAAATATTTTTTAAGTAATTCTAGTATATGAATTTTCATAGATTTTACAGGATTAATGAAAGTTATTCTTTTAATGAATTTTCATAAATTTTAATTTTAATTTTAATTTTTTTATAGATTTTTATATAATTTATTTAATTTTTTTAAAAAAATTATTTTATTTTATTTTTTGAAAAATTGTACACGGTAAAAGAATTATATTTTCCATGTCAATAAAAGTATTTTTCAAAAGAATACAAAAATAAGTCACCTAAATCAGAAAAATAAATAATCAAAATACAAAAATATTAGATAAAAAAAAAATCACTAATGTTCTGTATTATTATATGCTCAAACTTAAAGAAAGTTATTAAAAAAATTAAATAATCAATCAATATATAAAATTATGAGTAATTGGCACAAAACGTTCATACCTTTCAAACTTATTGTGGAAAAGGTCCCCATTTTTTTTTTTGTCATTTTTGCTCCTATTTCTACATTTCTTTGCGCTAAATGTCATTTTTACCCTTTTGAAGTAAAATGACCAAAATATCCTTTTATTTAAAAAAAAAAAAGATAAGAAAAAATTGCAACTATAAACCCAAATTTTCCATATGTGCAAATTAGCTAAAAAATTCAAAAAAAGTCACTAAACCACCTATAATCGACCACCACTTTGAAACCAAAAAAACTCCGACCAACCATTGCCGAAACCATCGTACCTCTATACCTCTAGATAGCCCTCACTCTCCTCTACACATACCACCCAACATCTAATTACCACGCCAACAGATTTGGTAGAAATTGCAAGCCAAAATATTGAACTTGCAAATGCAAATACGTGGTAGCACCACCTGCTCCGATAAGACTCATGCCATTCCTAACATTCCAGTCAAATATATACACCAAGACCTTCCTGTCCATGGTCCTCAAATGTCATTTGATTCACCCAATCAAACCAAACGGGTTGCAACTTCGAACACAGCCATTTCGCAGTTTTTAGGCAAATTTTTCGTGCCGACGATAGGACCATGATCGTGGACAACCACCTCAGGTACCTACTCCTCTTGGCGCATCTAATGAGCATATGAGTCTTCCCCAATTTTGCCTGGACATGGCAGTTCATTTAAAAAAGGGGAGAAAACTCAAAACCCTTTTATCCCATTTCAATTGGTGTTCCTCCACATCTACAATCAACAAATTGCTCCAACTAGAACACAATTCAAAGTGTAACGACTCTATGTAGTGAATCAATTGTTGTAATACACCATTCAAACGAAGCAATTTAAGATTTTTGATTGGTAGTGGAATGGGAGTGGGGGGAGGGGGTGAGGTGTGGAAGACTCCCCCCTCCCAAAATTTTGAGCTAATTTGCACATATGAAAAGTTTGGGCTTATAGTTGCAATTTTTTTCTTCTTTTTTTATTTTGTTTAAGTAGAAGGGCATTTTGGTTATTTTATGTCAAAAAGGTAAAAAGGATGTTTAGCGCAAAGAAATGTGAATATAGGGATAAAAATGTCAAAAAATGAAAGGTAGGGACATTTTCGACAATAAGATTGAAAGGTAGGAACGTTTTGTGCCAATTANATGCTGCCGTTTGGTCTTCCCAAGGAGGACGATGCTCTCAATTTTCAACGTATTCCACGTGTATTGATCTGGGCCTTGAAGCTAAAATTTTGGTTTCATCGAATGGTTTATAAGTGACCCAAATTTGGATGGTCCAGGTCTTTGAAATATGACTGTTAAAAATGCATGTGTTTGCCTATAAAAGACTCATTCTTGAACATTAATTTGCTGGTGTAACTTGTTTTGTCTCGTTTCTTCGCAATATGACCAAAAATCATACTTGTACTTGGTGGGTTTTGAGGAGAGTTGATGTGAAGGATTGCTTGGTTTTGGATAATGCTATGGAGAGTGCAAATTGGGTGGTCCTTGGGTGCGATGTACATGATACTTGGATTCTTAAAAATGGAAAACACAATATTCTTTAAACGCACTGGAAACAGTGCTGAAGTGTGGAGGGTCGCTCATTACTTTAAATAAATTACGTTGCAATAGGGTGTGAATTCCATTCAAAGTGCCTTAGGTCGCACTATGTGGATCCACAGGGGTTGGTACCAAAGTGCCTCCCCTGGGCAGTTAGGCTGTCTCTTCTGCCAGCATTTTACTAGGCAGAGTGTTTGTAGCCAAAGCTTTGAGTTTCAACATGGTCAAACAGACCTTGCAATTGTAAAGGTTCCAGTCTTATGGCAGACATCAATAAGAGGAAGAAGTTCAGCGATTTATGTGTCTGATGTAGTGATTATGCTTTGTCTTTTTTGTTCATCATTTTTTATTATTCTTGCAAGTGCTTTGTAATGCTTTGTAAGTGGCTCTGATTGCCCTTGATTGTAATGTGTTTGTAGTAATGAATAAAATTTGTATCTTTTCATGCGAATTTGTATTCGAACTGGACTTTAAAACGTTATTGCTTCGTAGTTGGGGGTGTTTTGAGAGGACCGTGGCCTTGATGTAATTTTCCTTTGTTTTTTTCCCCTTTTCATAGGTGACTTTTGTACCTTTTCATGAAGGTTGGGCTTATAGGGTCCAACCCTTTTCGTTATTCTACCCTTAGGGCTGCTTCTTTATTCCTGAGGTGGACCCCTTCGGGCTCCAACTTCTCCCACCGAGGTGCCTCCTCTTGGGCTGAACCTCGTAGACGTTTTAAGCTTATATTTTGAAGTGCCTCTATGGATTGATACCCATTTTTTGGCTACTTCTGTTCCTTCAAAGGAACATTCTGAAGTGCCTCTATGGGCTGATGCCCTTCTTTGGCTACTTTCCTCTGTTTCTTCAAATGAACTGCCTCGAAAAATGCTATGCATTTTGCTTAGGGCTTAGGTATCCTCTTTTTAGTGGTGTGGAGTAGACCATGTCATGTAACATACCCGAAAACAGTGTAAAATAACAAGTATAATGGTGCTAGTAAGAACAGTATAAGGGGTCGTGAAATATAATAACCTTATCGTTACATACAAGCTATCGATTATTCTAAATTCAAACGTAGATGTTAAAACAATGAGGATCTAAAAGCGAGACAACTTTACAAAAATTTACATAAGTGTCTATAGCAGATGTTGCCCAAAGTTTTTGTTGAAGAAGATGAGGCTGTGTGTCGAAACTGCCTACTTCAAATACATTATAAAGGGAGCTAAGGCCCTCACCATCTGAAGCTGTGTGCGTATTTTTCGATTTTGCGAGGCTGTGTTGACTGCTGGTGCATAGTCCTCCTTTCCAGGGTGTCTGCGTGTTTTGTGGATGGTTCCATGTGTGGTCTTCCCATGTCATTTTCTGCATTTGGCGCCTCAGTCGAAGTAGTTTCATCTTTTCTTTGAACAGACTTGTTTTACATGGCTCGTTTTGAGGCTATACATAGGGTAATGGTATACCCTTTTTGACCTAATCTGATTCTCTTATTCGGATGGGGCTGAGGTTTTTAGCCCCGGAATAGGAGGATCGACCTTCACCTTTTGAGTCAAAACTTTCTTAAGTAATATAATTCTATGAGGTTTGTTTTGACTGGAGAGGACAACAAATCTCACTTTTCAGTCGCTGCTGTCGAAGGGTCAGCTTCTACTGGCTGACGTTATTGGGCTGCCTAGGCAATGATATGCCTTAGTGTCTCTTTCCATAGGAGGAGCCAATTCGAGGAGGTCAAAATTGGCGCTCGTTTTTTTAGATGAGGCCTTTGTCTTTCTTATGAGGATAACACTTATGACTTTTGTCTCCTGACTATATCTCTTGGATGGGATGGGGAAGAAAGCGTATCACTTTTTTGTGGCGTTTATGTCCTTAGTTTACCGACCTGCTGCGAAGGTCGATTCATGTCGACCGGGGTTTTGAAGTTTTAGCCTGATAGTTATATGCCTTAGCACCTTTTTTCTGCGAGAGGGCTTTCCTTGGCCTATTCCTTTTTTTCTCGCGTGATCATACTTGATTGGTCCACATCTAAGTTAGTGCAGGTCATCTTTCACTCCTATTCCTAGACGGGGGATGCATATATCTAAGAACAAACTCATCTGCGGTTCCCAGTTGAAGTTGTCCATGCTGATTTTCCTCTAAAAGGGAGTTGAATAGATGTGGCCTGTTCAAGGAAATATGAGGGCGCCTGGCTAGGCGGGCGAAATGGGGTTAGACCCAATCTATTTCTTGTAGGACCAAGCTTATCAAACATACTGGCCTGTCTTCTTGGTGCGTTAGCCAATGGAACACAATCTCCTCAGTTATTCAACCGTAGTTAGCAACCATGTCTACATTCACCTCTCTTTGTAGTGGAACGACCTCCTCATTTTGTGAGGAGTTGGTCAATTGACCGTGCATGCACTTCAGTAGTTTTCGCATTGCAGCGTTTTGTTGGGAGATGGTCCTCACGTTTGCGGTGACGGCGGACAACTCTCTGGTGAGCCTTGTTGCTAGCTTGGGCCTGCTCCTCAAGCCACTTCTTTGGTAGCGAACCATGAGGGTGGCTGGCTGGTAATGACTCCTGGATTATTGGGGCGCTTTGAGAGGATGTCTTCTCGCCAACGTGCTCTTTAGCCTACCTTGGTGCAATTTCTTTCTTTTTTGGACTCATGGCTATCCCTTCTTGTTGGATAGCCTTTCTTTGGTTCTATTCCAGGAGTTGTTTTCCTTTATTCAAGGATTTTTCCTTTTACTCAAATGTTTTCTTTCTTTGCCTTTTCTGAAAACTCATATTTTCTCCTTTCTATCGGATTTTTGTGCTTTAGCTATTCCAAGCTTCCCACAAACAGCGTCAATCTGTTAACCTTCGAAAATGGCCAACAGGTGTCGTTAAAGGATGATGTACACATGGATGTAGCTTACCGTATGTAAATTGTAAATAGTATGTTTGTAGAAGAAGATGAATAATAGGCAATGAAAGTATATCGTATTCCCCTCTTTTTCGTTATTCCCAGATCTCTTTAAATGATACAAGAATTGCCTATTTATAGTGATC